ATCTGTTCAACTTGTATGCAGAACAAATTATAAGAAAAGCAGGCTTAGACAAAGAAGAAGGAAGAGGAGGAAAATAGGAGGAATATCAACAATCTGAGATACGCAGATGACACTGTATTACTAGCAGAAAACCTCACAGACCTGGAACACCTCCTAAGGAAGATCCAAGAAGAAAGTGCAAAGGCAGGCTTAATGCTGGACATCAAGAAAACAAAAATAATGACCACTGAGGACCTTCACAGGTTCAACCTAGACAAGGAAGAAACTGAAATAGTAAAAGAATTCCCATACCTGGGATCAAACATGGATAGAAATGGGGACTGCAGTCAGAAAATCAGAAGGAGACTAAGAATGGGGAGGGCAGCTATGAAAGAACTAGAAAAGATCCTAAAATGCAAAGACATACAACTCAGCACAAAAGTCAGAATCACACAAGCCATTGTATTTCCTATTCCCATGGATGGATGTGAGAGCTGGACAGTCAGGAAAAATGATAGGAGTAAAACCAATGTATTTGAGAGAGTGTGGGGCTGGAGAAGAGTGCTGAAGATCCCATGGATGGCCAAAAGGACAAACAAGTGGGTCCTAGAGCAGATCTAGCCAGAAACCTCCCTGGAAGAAGCCAAGATGACCAAACGGAGGCTTTTGTACTTCGGACACATCTTGAGAAAAGAGGATTCTGTGGAAAAGACAATAATGCTGGGGAAGGTGGAGGGAAGGAAGGAGGAAGAGAGGAAGGCCACATGCTAGATTCTTTTTTCATACCCAAAAAAAGGAATGCTGTTACATCAGGGAGCCAACAAAGTCACTGATGTCCATTGCAACCAATGCAGAAGAGGACCAATACACATTAGTCCATTAGGCATTGCTCCTGCTGTGCATTGGGACACCAACCAGAGAGTGCCAATGTGCATTGGTGGGAGATGGGCCTCATTTCCACTATGTTATAAACCAGTTTGCTAACTGGTTTGAAGTGGTTTAAATGACCCTTGTTCGCACCTGAGCCGAATCGCTGAAGTGTTTGGCGAGGGGGGCCAAAGATGTGCATCAGGACACTCTTACTGGTATCCCATTATTCATTTTCACAGTTCACTATCAGGGTTCCTTAGCACCTCTGCAACGTAGCTAAGCAGACGTAAATTGACATGAGTAGACCGCAGTAGAGGCTTCCAGCCATTATTGTTATCTGTATCCTGTTAACAGGCAAACAGTGAACCCGTAGCACTGTTTGCAAGGGAGGCACGAGTTGTATGACTTCAGGATTCAGCCACGCTGTTTGTCTATTTGACTGAGCAAACATGGCTCTTGGCTTCAGAAAGGTCAGAGCTGCCCCTATCGTTTGGCGCTGGCAATTCACAGAAGACGTCCCAGCAGAAAGGATGGTGAGAGATACAAGGCAAGAATTATTTGCGTCCTCAATATGAGAAAAGGGTTTGCAAACACTCGAGAAGTCCCATAGGGAAAAGATATATAACACAGCAGCAAGTCTTGTGTCCAGCTTTCTCTGGGTATTTGCACATCCTGAAGCATTCCAGGGAATTTCTTTGTGCCTGCTTTTTCGGTGCAAGAAAGAGTTCCCAGCATCCTGCCTCAAAAGTGTATAGTGAACATTTCGGCATGTAGAGTTACACATTGAGGATGCGTTGCAGCCCTTCAGTTTGGGGCATTATTCTGTGCAGAAACACCTGTGGTTTTTCTTTGCAAAAAATGAAGGGCTTTATCGCAAAGGATACACATCTTCTGGACAGTGTGTTCCATGCTGAAAACAAGTGTGTATTGCACAGAAAGCCGTGCCTATTTCAATGCAGAATATTTTGCTGAAACGCTTTAGGGAATGTGGGTACAAGGAGAATAACATGGAGAAATATTCATTTTTCTGGTGTTGCCAGTTCAGGATTGTTCCAGACCCTGCAGTTTCTGGGTAAAAACCTGCCCAGGCATTATGCTCTGAGTATCTTGCTTTCAACTTATCATTCTAACACAAAGAAAAGATTTTTCTGATTGGAAGGTAAGACAGGAATCATAGCTAAATGGCCTCTTCCCAGAATAAGGTGGAAAGAGGGGAATATTCATTCTCACTTACCTGGGAAGATGCTTCCAGTGAGAAAGTGAGTGTAGAGCAGAGTAGAAGGTGAGCCCTGGCACTCCAACTGGGAGAGGAGGCAGAACAGAAGCGCCTGGCATAAATACACACATACACATACACACACACACACACACACAACAAGTCTATTGCAGGAAGGAATCAATTAAGCTTTGCCAATGGTTGCAAACTGATACTAGAATCATAGAATCCTAGGGTTGGAAGAGACCCCCAAGGGCCATCCAGTCCAACCTTGTTCTGCCATACAAGAATACCTAGTATCCCAGAGTTGAAAGAGACCCCCAAAGGCCATCCCATCCAACCGCTTTCTGCCATGCAAGAACTCAAAATCCAAGCCCTCCCCATGACAGATGGCCACCCAACCTCTATTTAAAAACCTCCAAAGATGGAGACTCCACCACATTCCCAGGTAGTGTATTGCACCATCAAACAGGACTTCCCATCAGAAAGTTCTTCCTAACATTTTAGTGGATTTTCCCCCCCTGTAATTTGTAGCTGATCTGAAGATTTGCAAATAATCATTTCTTCTTGCTTGGAGATGAGCTCTCCCCACCTTCCAAAAACCCTAGAGAGATTGCCCTCTTGTCTCCCACCTGGTGGACTAGATACCCTAGAAGGCACCAGATCCCATCTGATCTTGGAAGCTAAGCACAGTGAGCCCTGGCTAGTCCTTGAATGGGAGACCACCAATGGATCCCAGGTGTTACAGGCTCTATTTCAGAGGAACAAACTGGCAAAACTCTGAATATTCCTTACCTAAGAAAACCCCGTGAAATTCATAGGGTTCCCACCAATCAACAGGTGGCTTCAGGGAACATATGTACAAACAGCCTAAATACCCTAAAAGGCACCAGATCCTCTCGGATCTTGGAAACTAAGCAGGGTCAGCCCTGGTGAATCCTTAATGGATCCCAGTTGCTGGGGGCTCTATTTCAGAAGAAGGAACTGGCAAAACTCCTTCTGAGGATTCCTTGCCTAAGAAAACCCTTTGAAATTTACCTGGTTACCATAAGCCCACTTGAAGACACATATACACACAAAGCATAAATATCCCCAAGGCACCAGGTTTTGCCTGGTGTCTTGGAAGCTAAGCAGGGTCACCCCTGGTTAGTCCTTGGATGGGGGACCACCAAGGAATCCCAGGTGCTGGAGGCTTTATTTCAGAGAAAAGAACTGGCCAAACCATCATTTATGAGGATTCCTTGCAAAATTCATGGGGTTCCCATGAGTGGAAAGGCAACC